AGACATCTGTCTAATCGGAGAAACATAAAAAATAATTTTTCCTCGAAAATTATGCAATCAATTTTTGAAAATCTATTCTACATCTGTATTTTCATGAAGAATAATTTCTTTGCCAGTTATAAGATTCAAGATTTATTGGACCTTCTATACGTAGACAAATAATTAATTTTTACAGAAAAAGATTAATATACGAAATTAAGAGATTAATTTGAACAAATTTTTAATTTAAATGCTACATGGAACCATTTAAAATAACATCGTAGTACAACTTGAAATAATAATCCGAGAGGGAAACCGCTGACCAAAATCTTGTACACCAATGCCCACTAATGCTCAATGGGCATTACTTGATCTCTTATTAACTTCTTTTACCTTATTTTATCTTTATAATGCCCAAACTAATGTCCAGTAATGCCGTCAGTAAAATCTGTACACCACAATGCCCTCAGAGGTTTCCCCCTCGTAATAATCTTTCTAGTTTTGCACAGCACAATCTGACGACTAAAATAGAAGCATTAAAAAATCAATATTCTTAAAGCTATATATACAGAAAGAACTCTGTATAGAATTTGAACCTGCAAAATATATCAGGAAATCACCAAGTTCTGACACATTTTCTAAAAAAAAAAAAAAAAAAACCCCGAAGCTTTCCGATATTCTCTCACTCATTTACTAACCTATGCTACTTATAAAACCATGTCTAGCGCTCAAGATCAAGACGAAGAAACGTATTTTATGTGCACAATCTCGAAAGACAGCACACAAAGTCTGACCATGACTTAAAACATTATCCATAAATTTCCAGAAAATCCGACGGCCTTGAAATCTAGATTCTCGGCAATTTGCGCATCGAAAACTCAGCTGTTTTCGAGGCTGGGGACGGCAGAGAGATAATAAAAGAAAATAGACGCGATACGCGCGTTATCGGATGTGACAATTACCTCAGTCTCCTTTCCCCGGTAGATGCACGGAAGCAAGAATGGAGATCGATTTACGAACGGTAAATCGACGAGCAACGACACAACTCGGCCACGAAGCAAGCTATTCAATAGCGAGTTTCAAACTGACGTTTTGAGGACGCGGAAGGTCACCACTCCCTAGCCATTCTGATCATGCGTATTTACTAGCAAGTTCACTGCCGGCTGATTTTCATTACGCGACAGCACTCGCCGTATCGATCCCAATCAAGGTTGCGCAATCCTAGGACGCGGGTGGGAAATAACAGAGGGGAGGGGAATGAAATAGCCGTAGACATAATAAGTCTAGTTATATTATGTCTATGGAAATAGCAGAGCGAGGGGTCATGGCAGCGAACGGAAGGGGGGGGGGGGAGTAGGTGCGCCATATTGTAAGTGCGCCATATTGAAATCTACGTAGGAAGTCTGTCCTGGTTCGTCCAATAGAGTCAGTAATTACATTTTCAATAGGTCCCAACATGACGAGCGAACTAGATTCAATACCTCACCTCTTGCAGGTCTCCTCTGATTATTTCCCTACTAAAATACAATAATCTACATCTAGACCAATATTCATAAAAAAAAACGTTATACAAAATGGCATTATAAATTGATAAGAATTTCGTAAAAATTGTATTAACACAAGGTGATTCAACATAACGCAGCAATCGGTGCAAAATAAAATTTTTAATATTGTCAAAAATTAGGCAACTTGCATGCATAATGGATTAATTTGATTCTTTCATGCACAATTCTATATATTTCTAAATGTTTTAAACATGATTATATATGATTTTTTTTCTAATCAGATTAATAGAATTTATATGGTGTATTAATTTGGTTACTTACAATTCTAGCCATCCTAGAGATCGAATGATAGTTTGTAGGTACAGTTATATCATGTTGCTTGTCCGAGCGTCTGCTTTATATTACGTGATATGTAAATGTGGGATGAGTTATCATTGGTGATAATAATTCAACAAGAATTCACAAACCTGCATTTAAAAAAAGTTCAATCAGTCAGAAGTCATTCTTTCGAATAATAGCAAAAGTGAGCATATTTTCTTCCACAAAATAAAATTTACTAATCAAATGACTTATCTTATAATTTTCCAGACAGTAGAATGGCATTAAAAATCGACACGCAGTAACGTCTATCTTGGTCTATTAGATACTAGACGTTATTTTATTATCACTCTACGCTTGTCGTTAGCTATAAAATAGTATCAATTTTATTTTCTTGAAAGTGATATTTGTAAAAGTAATATAATAAAATAGAAAAATGTGCCTCTTAGAAAATTACTATCTCTCAATTATAAAGAAATCCCTCATTATAACAATAGTAAATATTTGATAAACACGTAAATATTGTCTGATTAATCTTGTCTCAGATTAATCGAAGTCAATCTTGAGCAATTATTAGATTCTATCATACCCAAATAGTTAATCGGGGAGCCGAGTTCGGTCGGTTCTCCACTGATTGAAGCGTGTTCCTGATAGTGGCGTGATTCATTTTTATAAACCTTCGGTATTCTTATCTGTTCATGACCTAAACATGCAATTAATTCATCGATAAAACGGCACATCACGCGGCCACTATCTTTACATATTTATAGATGCACGCATCAACGAAGTGTTGGAGAACCATGTAATTATAACGATATCTACACATGCAATTTTTTTGCTCGATTGAAAATTCGCAATAAGTTCTCAATACGACACATATAATTTTGTTCAACGAATTTACATCCCGATAAAATTTATAAGTATTAGCAGTTAGCTTTTTGAGAAAATATGTGCAAAAGAATTTTACTTTAATCATTTTCCAATTATATTATTTTTTAAAGAAATATATTACAGAAGGTGGCATTGAGAACTCATATTGCCACTAGATTTATATTTGTTTAAATACTTATCTTTTGTACTTTGAGGTTTTAAACCTTCTGTATTCTTATAACGTATCCTATGCCATCTGTTTCATCGAATCTAACAGTGTTCTAAAACAGACTAAAAGTTGTAGATAAAAGTGATTTTAGAAATGAACTTATACACTATAGCTTTTCAATCAAAATATATAATATTATAGAATGTTATCATATGCCCTTTAGATGTCTAACGATAGAACAGCAATATTATTGTTGAGTTTTAATTTTCTGTAAATTTGTATTTAAAACATTGAATTATCGACATTTTTTTCTCTAAAACTAAATTGACTGTTTGAAAGAATGTTTCTATATCGTCATATAAATCTTTATCAATTTTTCCGTTATCTTGAGAATATATTAAAACTAATGTTTAAAATCTAAACTTTGGAAATCTTTTTGTAATTAAGGAAGACCAAAAATTAACTTCATACTTATAGGAAAACTGAAGTTAAAGTTAAAAGCCCACGTAAAACTGTACAATAAGAGATTTGTTTCACAATCATTGCCTTTCGATGCAAGGCAAAACCTATTGTTGTATATTCCATTAGCTGCGTTCGGCATTGCAAATCCGAGGTGTGCTCTTCCTCCTTTTCTATATCAATCTCCTTTCTCGCTCACTCGAATGCAAAGGAGCACTCCGATGCCTCGGATTTGCAATGCCGAGCGCAGCTATTGTAAATTTTTAATTTTTTTTTACACAAACGAGTTTATCTCACATCGCCCAGTGCATATGACACGAAGGTCTATAATTGTACGCTTCTACATAAGTTTCTAACTTATTTCCATGTAAAACAAAGTTCACATTATTCTTTGCTTTTCGTGTACAGTAACATCAATTATGTTACAATTATACATTAGATTTTATATTTTGCGCGCTATTTCTATCATAGATAGAGCATACTCGGCGCTACGATAAGCGCCACGCGAAGCATATTTATATTATCTTTATTTCGTCGGTACAACAGATTTGCTAGTCTTTAAATCGTCTTTATCACTTGATTATTAGTTTTAAAGTAACAAACGTAATTTTTATTTATTCTGAAATCTATATTTTTATACGTATAAAAGCACATCAAATAAATGATACTTTTATCAAAGATGAGATAAAAAAAAACTTAAACTAAATATTTACTAATTCCTTTTCGTACACTTGTTTTATATTACTTTATCTCTCTCTCTCTCTCTCTCTCTTTCTCTTAGCCTGTACGATACTGCCCACTTTCGTTACATTGTAGAAACACTTCTTTAAATGAATTTATCGATCATGATTTTTACAAAATCACTTATCTAATAGTTACACAAAATGTTTACAAAATTGTAGACTTTACATCTTAAAAATTGTTATTTCCCCACAACTGAAAAATTTTTTCAACTATTGGATTAATTTTGCAAATGTATCGCAAAAATTACTTATTATTATAAATCGTTATTGTTTCGCTGAAATATTATTTCAAAATTAATTGCGCAAACAATTATTAATGTATACAATTATTTAAAGATCAATATTTCTATCTTTGAAAATATATGTGTATTCACATAACTGCAGAGATTAGAAATTTCATGTAAGATTTCATCACATAATTTTAAAAATGTTTATCGGATATATTTTATGTTGTACACACAAGTTTTACACCAAGTAAAACCATTCTACAACGAATGGATTTCTTATTTTTCTAAAAGTTTTAGAATGGTATTACTTAGTGCGTTTAGTACTAATAGTATTACATTTTTCACAAGTTATAGATTATTGAAGTAAATGTGTACAAAAAAGCATTTAAAGTAAGCTGTAATAAAATTAAACGTTATTTGTAACAAAACAAGAATATTTAGTCATAAGCAATAGTGAATACATTCTGCTTTATAGAGTGATAAAAGGAAGCTCTGTTATAAAAACTCCACGGTACACTTCCATTAAAATTTATTAGTAAGATTACCGGTTCTCCTTGAATTTAAATGAAGTTTTTCTATTGTGCTCGCAATGGATTTAACAAATTTCGCGATTCTGTATACTCCATAGAAAACCGCAACGAGTTACATATTGAAACACACTGTATACTTTTACGTTGACCGTGAGATCTTGAATGACAACAGTTTTGAAACACTCTGTATGCCGTTCACTTAAGATCGAAACAAATAAACTGCTCAACGCAGATGCTTCGTGTCTCGCGCGTCAGAAGTTACATATATCTCGATAAGATTGTAGGAAAAAAATACGCAGGAGAATCAGATACAAGATCCGAAAGACCCCCCACGGTTTGGACGAACCAACTGCGATAACAACTGCCTGGTAACCACTTGTTTGTCTTCCATCAGTCCCATCCACTTCAGTTCAGTCCACTTCAGTCCGCTTTGCGCTGTCTGCCACGCCGTGTGTCGACTACTAGTATAACAATGACCGATCATAAAAGAGTAATCAATTTCGGCGCTGGCCCAGCTAAATTGCCGCACGAGGTATGTTAAGAATATTTTCTACATCAACGTTCTTGCGTTATGAAAATAAAAACTGCAAAGTTAAGAGAGAAATTGTTTTCTAAAAATAAATGACTCGATTTTCTTAGCACAATTTCCGTGTTTTTAATCAGTATAAAAGCGCATGATTATTCTAAGTAGAAATTTATATAACATTTATTTATTAAATATAAAATGCGAAAAGTTTTTCAGCATATGTTTTCATAAATAAGCTAATCCAGTACATAAAAGCGCAGTATGCTAGCAATTTACTAATAGATTCTAACAAAAATATTATATATAGATTGACTATTGGAATTATACATTAATTGCCTTTGCATTAACCTCATGCTCTACCAGTGGTATCCGCCTTTCCATTTTCTCCCCTCCTCTCGATATATTCCGACAACAAATTGCTGAGAAGAATCTATCATTTCATAACCATCAAACCGGAATGTATCACTTATAAGTGATTATGAAATGGCATATTACGCTTGGGTTTTGTAGTCAAACTATCCTCGTATTCTGTTAGTAGATTCTGTTATATTTCCGTTGATGAATTTTGTTGATGAACTTTGCAAAATTTCGCTATCTAGATAGCCAGTTTGGGAACGACAATAAAAAAAATATATAAACCGTACATATTGTTGTCCACATACATGGAACAATTGACAGTTATGCTATTATTGCTAACAGTATAAAATTGTGGCTAATTGCTGAAATAAAAGTTGTAATTTGATCTAATTGACCCCAATTGCTAAGTTATAAAGACATGTTACTGTTCTCTCCAGATATGACACAGTGTGCAGCACAGCTCTCGCATTTTCGTTGCTAAAAAATCTGTTAAAACTTACTTTATGTAATGCCAATTAATTTTTTTTACACTATATAATGCATTCAAATATGTACATATAGTCGCATTGATTTTTTAGAAGAAACCAGTGCACATCAATGACAATTTACATGCTATAAATATTATAATTTTCCACTTATCAATATAAATATTATACATGTACATATAAACAGTTACATTATTGAGTAAAAAATTACAATATGAATATTATGTACCTATTAGCTGGTGTTTACTGAGAAGGGTATAAAGAGGAATATACGAAAAGTATTGTATAACTTTATATACTCTGCCCTCCATAAGAAATATTAAAAACTTTCGTAAATTTACACAGTCGATCCACGATTGTTGGATCCATGGAGACAGATACGGACATATACGGCTAAACAGCTGTCTCTTGACGCAGTATTATCACAAATAAATAATCTTTTCATGCTTTTATGCGATAAATACGTATAAAGCATTTCAGTAAAGTCACATTCTTTGCGCTATCAAAGCGATGGTCTCGCGTTTTCAGATCTATTGTCAATATCAGGAGATAACGGAAATAACACGGGTCAGTCGTTGAACTAACAGATATCGCCTCTAAAATACTTCGTCATTTACAGGTTCTGAAAAAAGTACAGAAGGAATTACTTGCGTACGGAAACACGCAAATCAGCATCCTTGAGTTAAGCCATCGGTCGAATGACTTTAAGAAAGTTATCGACGATGCACAGGCTACATTGCGAGACATCCTGTGAGTCAAGTAATCACATCGCTCGACAAATAAACAGCTTGTTTCAAAAGTGACATAAAACCATTCATTGCAATGTTATAAGTTGCAATAAAATGTAACGATAAACTATATCAATTTTCCCAAGACATTCTATATAAAACTTATAAAGTTCTTATCCTAATTTTAATTTTCTTAAACACTCACAAGTTGAAATTATTCTTTCTTAAATAAAATTTTCAAATAATCAAATAATTTATGTTCAATGATTTTTACAAATACTTTCTATTTTGATTTTTTAAAGCTATGTCCCTGACAACTATAAAATCCTGTTCATGCAAGGAGGTGGCACTGGAATTTTTGCAGCAGTTCCTCTGAATATCATGAACACCGGCACTGCGGATTACCTAGTAACCGGTAAGAAATAATTTTTTAATCTTCAATGATGTAGCCTAGCAAAGAAATTTTTCAACCTAAATGCGTAAATTTGTTTAGGCTCATGGTCTGCAAAAGCAGCAAAAGAAGCGGCCAAGTATGGAAAAGTGAACATGGTGCTTCCTAAAGTAACAAAATACACGGAAATTCCGGATCCTTCCACCTGGAAATTGGATGCAAATGCATCATATGTTTATTATTGTGCCAATGAAACTGTTCATGGTAAATAAAATATTTTTAATACTTTTCCTTGTCATATTGCTTTAACATTATACTTATATGTCCTGAAATATGTTTCTAGGAATCGAATTTGATTACATCCCGGAAACAAACGGTGTACCACTTGTTGCTGATATGTCGTCTAATATACTTACGAAACCTTTTGATGTGTCTAAAGTAGGTATTCAAACTAAGATATGAGTATCTTAAGATGTATTGAAACGAATGGCAGTTTGATAACTTGTTGTTTACCTCGAAATGTGTAATTACTTCCTTTTTTACTTCAATCAATGATATTAAGATTTTTTGAAGCGATACATATTTATTTCTCAACTTACAAGATACTTTTTGTACACAGTTTTTTTACCGAGTAAAAATTCCTCTACTAACACAATCATCCAAATTGAAATAAAATAGGAGCAAGTAAGAGAAGTAAAATTTATTAGTATACATATATATTATAGGCTGTGGTCCACTAAATGCTACAAATATCTACTATTTAATAAAGAAAAGAGAACACTTTGAAGCATTTGCAGCATCAAGTGGACTGCAGCCATACTGTTATTTTCACAACTGTTCCGTGTCTGAAAATAAATACAAGTTTTAGAATAACTTTAATAATTTTATTAGTATAATTAGGGTTCAAGCACGAAACTTAATTAAAATAAATTCATAAATGTTAATATTACTATATCTTAGATTGGTTGGAGTAAGTTTCACCTTGGTAATCACGATATATATTTTCATTTTAGTAATACTGGGTTCTAACTGTTCATTCGAATATATTAATTGTTATAAACATATACGTTTTCTTTTAGTTTGCAATAATATTTGCGGGCGCACAAAAAAATATTGGACCAGCTGGTGTTACTCTAGTGATTATACGAGATGACATGCTCGGTCGTGCTATGGATGTATGTCCGACAGTGTTGAATTTTACTGTCATGGCAAATGATAATTCTCTGCACAATACTCCACCTGTCTTTCAGTGAGTGTGATTATGTCACTTTCGTAATCAATAACTTGATAAAAAGAATACGTATAAAGTATACAATTAACTCGATGTACAAGTATATAAGGCTATCAAAAATAGATCCATAAAAAGTTTTTAAAACATTATATTTCTATATTTAAAATTTTTTATATGTGGAAAAATTGTTGGAGAATGTGGAGTTGTTTTACATTTTAACTATTAAGCTGCTGAAATATAACAGTTAAAACTAGCAATTTTTGCAATACCCATAAATTTTACATTTTACTATTTTACTTTCTTCTATATCTGCATGACATTTAATTGTTTTATTTCTATATGCTTGTTTCTAATAATGGAGATTTTTTAATAATTATTAAATGTTAGCCTGTCTGTGACTATTTTAGAATATACATGGTGGGCTTGGTATTTGAATGGATCAAAGAGAATGGTGGAGTCGAAGGTATGCAAAACTTTGCAAAGAAGAAGAGCGGCAAGATATACGATGTGATTGACGGGTCAGGAGGGTTTTACGTGTGTCCCATCAAGCGAGACGCACGTAGTAAAATGAATATTCCATTCAGAATAGGAAACGGTGATGAGGATCTCGAAAAGGAGTTCCTTTCTGGCGCTGCGGCTCGCGGTATGTTGCAGTTAAAGGGTCACAGGTCAGTAGAAAACTATTGACATAGAAACGCAATTACAACCGTAATTTATCATAATTGTGTGTTATAAAATTATAATTTCTCTTTACAGATCAGTGGGTGGAATACGTGCATCTCTGTATAATGCAGTTACAGAAGAAGAAGCGGAAATATTGGCCAATTATATGAAGTTGTTTTACGACAAAAATTGCTGAAAACTAACTGTGAAAAATGGCAAAAGTTAAATTCGTTGACAAAAATTATTCAAAAATGTTACTTGTAAATATACATTTGTACTGATTTCAATATACAATAATTTTTCATATGCAAAATGTTTTGGATTTGTTTATCTATATCTCGTTATATCTACAATTTTATCAAATATTACGACTTTTACTGGCAGTTCTCTTCAGAGCAAACCATTTGATGCAAACAAAATATCCAATTCTTTTTCCAAATTAAAATTAGTTTGACGACATCCATCTACAACAGCTTGCGCCCACTAGAAGAAACAACTTGAGATGCAAATAATCTAAAGAACAAAATGGTGGATTTGATAGAAATTATCAATAGAAACATTTCACCTTAAAATACTCTTTTACTCTTTTACTTGTCCAACCGACGGGGATGCTTCTATTAAGATCTCTCAAATTGTACAACTTATCAGCCAATTTTACTAATTTTGCCTCGTGAGATATGTTAGGTGCATGTTCTATCTGTAACTGTTTACGTCTGGTTTTTGACAATGCTTTATTATCAGTTACTTCTCGTACCACTTCGCAGACTTTATGTCCAAATTCTTTTTCAATTTCTTCAAACGTAGTATCCGTATCCTCTACGGTATCATGTAAGATTGCTGCCAGAATTACAACTGGGTCAAACACCAGACCCTCTTGGATTAAAATGTTTGCTACTCCTAAAACAAAAACTCAATTAGAAAAAGGAACAATTAAGTAAAAACTGAAATAACAATTATACATATCATAATGTTGTCCCAACGGTTGCTTTCTTCCAAACACAAGTTTATTTTGGAATAATTTTCTCTTATAATGAATTAAAAAGTGATAATTTTTATAACTTCATACTTTTCACATTAGATATGTTTCTGATTAAAAAATTTCAATGATTTTTATCTACGTAAGAATAATCTAAAAACAGCGTTGAAATATTTTATCTATTTCACGTTTTAACTTACAATTTAAATAATTTTAAAATAATTCTTGTTTCTATTGTTTTCTGATTGTTCATCAATATTAAAACGACTAAAATATAACAATTTTTAAAAAATAATTTTATCTTGTATTTGGGACACCTTGTATTTACATTAAACCACACAATTTAACCACACAAACCTAAAGGATGATTTATGTATGGTGTTTGTTCGACATCCTTCCTTCTTTGACTTCGATGCTTTTCCGCAGCAAAATTGGCACATTTTATTACTAGCGACAACAGATCTTCTTTTGACAACTCTCTTACAAGTTTTCCGGTACATAATGATTGAACATTGCTGTCTTCCATGATATGAATATATGAATACTGCTCACTTTATTTAATCATGACGTATGAATACTTAGAAAAGAGCACACTTTTCGAATATATCGACTTTCCACGACGACAAAACTTAGGTCTAGTTTACATTGATCGTTTGAATCAAGTAGAGTATTTGGACGGACTATGAACACAGAGAAGCCTGAGAGATGTCACGGCCCCGTTTCTCGTGATTGGCGAATGCGATACGCCCTCTGTGGACATTG